GGAGGAGCAGCTGCAGGAGGGTGGAGGAAAGGGACCGGCCCTGCCAGGAGGAAGCGTAAGCTGAGACACGCAGCAGAAGGTGATGAGGAAAGAAACTCTCGGGGAGGCTGGAGAGAGCACAGGCCAGGAGTTTCGAGGCAGTTTGACTGACAGTCTTCTATTGAAAGAGACTTCTGAGCAAAAATGGAGCTTTCATTAAAGTAGGTGTGTGCAAATATAACATAATTCAATATAATCTAGTATACAACACCTTTGAGTTATTATGAATGTGCAGTAACAGGCTAAAATCAAGAAGAACAAGTTTTCCAAATAATACCGAAGTAGTAATTTTGAAAGCAAGGCTCTGCTGGACTTGACACACCCTTCTGCTGGAGGAAAACAATTCTCAGAGAAAATGCCAAATAAAAGACCTCTAAACGGATTTAAAAGAAAGGCAAACAGGAAGAACCAGCTGGTAACATGTGGGAAGATAAAAGGGTGAGACAAAGTAATGTGTGGGAGAGACATTTTTTAAAAGTAAGATACAATAAACAGCCAGAAAAAAAAAAGATGCTGGTATTTTACTAGCCCAGAGAAAGGAACCAGCAGCACGTTCAGGAAGACAGCTGCACTGTGCTGCTCGTGTGAGCAAAGACTCAGGATCCAGCCTGTCCCCTCCCAGCAGCAGTGTCCAGCAACCCTGCCAGGCTGTGGGTCCTGCTCCCAGTCTGTGCTCTCCTCCTGTGGCTCTGTTGGGCTTTTGCTGTAATGAAATGTGGGGTGGGATCTGGGGACTCACCCTACACAGAGGGCTAACGTGAAGCCTTCTAACAAGAAGACTTCAAGGGATACGATGACTCTGAATTAGTTTCCAGAAACAGCTCAGACATTTCTGGAATGACAACATGGAACAAGCCAAAGCCTGACCACACACTGAGCTACTCTCCTGGCAAAACTCCCAGCAAAGGTGCGACTGGCTCTGCTGTCCCTGCCAGCCTGTGTCCAAGTGCCAGACACTTGGTAGCCCCGTGGGGTAATTGCTCTAACGAGCTCCTGAACAAACCTCTTTGTAAAATACTTTCTCTGCTAAGTTCTGTATCTCTCATTCCTGCAGCACTAATTATACGGGACATTTCAGTCCCACTTCTCCTGCCTTGCTGCACCTCTGAGCTCACCCCATGAAATGCTGTGCAGACCTGAAGCGATGCCTCCCCTGCCCAGTGAGCTTATACCCTGGACAGTGATGGGACACGGTGCCTGTGGAAAGAGCACGGGTGGAGATGGGGAAGAGAAGAGAAATGAAACGCAGAGGATGCAGACAGGAGACAACAGGGCGTGGGCAAAATTCTGCCCTGTGCCACATCCCTGGCAGCACAGCTGGTGCAGCCTGTGAGAGCTCCCCACAGCTCATCTCTGCTCTTCTAACGTGCCAATCTTGCACAGCAACAACGAGTGAGCATCGAGAAGACAGAGACTTAGGTGGAGGTGTGAGGCTGGGAGAGGGACCCAAAGCTAAAAAGCACAAGGGTGGGTGCCCCAGGGCAGAGGGGGAGTTCTGTCACCACTCCTGCTGCAGAGCTGCAGCTCTGAGCACCACAGAGAGAGCAGATACATCTGAATTGCAACAGCATCAGAAAAATCCCTCAGGAGCAAACACACCAGAGGTTTAAGACACCAGTGAAGAAACAGAAAACAACTACTTTTGCAAATTGCCAATGCTGGGAATGAGCCAGGAGCGCAGGACTGCCCTGATTACAGGCATGGAGCACTGTTAATAGCAGGCCACAGTCTGCTCTGGTGTATAAACTATAATTTCTCTAGAAAAGTCTGTTTTATAAAGCACGCAGACAGGTACAGTCTCACTCACACCCATAGTAACTATCCGTGGGGTTTGTATTTTTATTTACTGGCTTGTGTAACTTTAAAGACATCTGTAGATGAGTAAACTGCTGCTACAACCAGGCAGGAGATTCCTCAGCTCAGTGCTCTGAATAACACGACCTAAGCTGGAGTATGAGCCATATGTTGAAAGCGTACAGAAATAGAGACTTTTTAGTTCAAGTATGAAATAAAGATACAATGAGGACACTCCGGGGAGGCTCTGGCTGCCCACACCTTTGGCTCCTGGCTCTCCTGTACCACTGTATGGTGTCTGAGCACAGGATGCACCCGAACACTCCAGTTCCACTTGTCAGGCTGCACTGGCATCGTCTGGGAGGCGCTGGAAGGAAATTAAAACCCTCCACAAAATTAATCAGAGCAGATTGTGAGCTTCAGTAGGAAGAGATCTGGTTCTGCCCATCTCTAAGTCCTGTTGAACTCCTACTTCATCACTAGCAGATGTTCAGAGGTAGTCTAAAGATGCCAACAGTCAGCAAGAAAGAAACTGAAGCAGCAATCACTTTGGTCTCTGAGGCGTATTTAAGACCTAGGATTGTGCTGTTACCAAACTCATTGTGATAATTATTTCAGTTGCCTTACAGGAATTTTGCTAAACATGGTGGTATGAACCATGAGTCACTAGCCAGAAAGAAAGTCGTGGTCTGCATTTGAATGATGGGAGCATGAGGTCTGGAGCCAGCTCAGTATCACATCAAAGAAGTGTTTAATAAGTGATGCCCAATGGCTATTATGCAAATTATTAATGGTAATTACAAGTGACAAGATAAAATCATACTCCTGTGTGGTTGCACAAACATCACTGAAGCAATGCTTATGAAAGTGAGGTTCTGTCAGATGAGACACACCCTCCTTGTACCTGACAGGAGGAAACGGTATCAGCTTTGATAAGCGAGGCGAGCGGAGCGCGGGGCCGGGCTGGCAGCGGCCGTGTGGGGCCAGCCC